GGAGCGACAAACTGAAGCGATTGCGGAAGTCTTCCTTTAGAGGCATTCGCCACAAGCGAGTATTCCTCACTTGAGGGAAGAACAGGCAATGCTTCTGAGTTACGGCCAGATCGCAAACACAACACGCACGAGATCCATCATCGAAGTCCTCAAGCAAATCTTCGAACAGATAATAAGCTTGTCTCAAATCGCAATATCTGTTACCAACAAGACATTGAGAGAGAGGAGAACAGCGAACCTCGCATCAAGGATTGTCGTCGAGTCATAGCCTTCATCAAACTACTCCAGACGATCCAAAGATCCTTCAGGAAGGTTCGTGAGGAAGGATAACTCCTCATGTTCTCGTTCCCCCTTGTTCTTGAAAATGCAGAACGTCATGTTGTATCGTTTGCAAAGAGCGACTGCACTGAGACGACCAAAACTCAGAAGAAGAAGAAGTAGTAGGATACATGATGGTCACAAAGTATCCTCTGTCATCCTGCCAACGGCTCACTTCCGCACAAAAATGCCAAAAGGCACGTGCTGCTTCTTGGGCCATTCCGCAGGAATGACTGGGTGAATAATGACATGATCAGGCTCAGCCGCTAAGATCGTCTTCCAAGCCAACGCATTCGACGATTGGAATGTCTTGAAAGACCATTCACCAAACAACACAGGTTCACTCACAACGAGACCTGAATGGCAAGTACACGCAGTGAGGCCAGTAAGGTGAGGTGAGATCTCAACGAAGTCACTCTTCCCAGAAGTAAACGAATGGTAACAGATTTCATGTTCGTAGCAACAATAACCAGACGAAGCACGTTCCAGAATGTGATCACCAAAACGATCAAGTGCTTCATCCTGAGACGAGCTTCTTGAACTGTCATCAGAATTCACAGGAATTGCCACATGCCAAGGATCGTGATCATGCCTGACCTTCGACTGATTAACCCGAAGAACAGCGTGATGCATTTCCCAAGACCATGGCACCTTCTGGTGACACAACAACTCCTCTGACCCAGACGCCTTCTGACTTTTTGTTTGACTCATCTTTATGCCAGACAAAAACACGATCTCCCTTCTTGTATGGACCATCAGACGGCATCACCCGTCGTGCAAGGCTTACGCTACTTTATCGCCTGGCGCTTGCCTTTGCACCGTGCTGGTTTTGGTTCAGGTCCTAAATCTGCATCAAAAAATTACCCTGAGCTGTTAGTCTACCGTCACGAGGCTGGGGTTTAGAACAACTCTCATAAGTGCCAGGAAATGTGCAGTTTCGTGTTCGTGCAGTTTGGGCTTGGGGGCATACAAAGACGGAGTACAAGATGTCCCCCAGCCTCTTGACCGTAGACTAACAGTTCATTGTAATATTTTGCAGATTTAGGACCTGAACCAAAACCGCAAGAAGGTTATCAAAGCTTTAAGGTGGGAATGTGTTTTCAACCGTGTGCGTGCCAAAGCACGGAAATGCGAAACGCAAGGCGGTTTTCGAGTTACTGGCGAAGTCTGCTCCCTAAACCTTGAACCCTACCCTGAACCCTCCTGACTGCAAGTGAATGCCTTCTGCGTGGACATGGTGGGGTGGAGGGGAGGGGTGGAGAAGAGGAGAGGGGGAGAGTGGAGAAGAGCTGGGCTTGGCGGCCGGGGCCCGAGGCTAATGGAGGTGGTATAAAAACTGTTTAGGTATTTAAAAATCGTCACCGTATGTGGTACCCAGAAAAAACCTTACTCCAATTACAAAGGCCCAAAGCCCCAGTGTCTCTCGCGGAGGCCAAATTGGAGCAGGACCGGAAGGACCAAGAGCTATGCGAGGTGGGCGCCAGAATCCCAGTGTGCACGGAAAGTCGACAAGCCCCAAGAGCCTAAAGCCCCAAACCCTATAAGCCCTATGTAAGCCCTAGACCCCTGAACCTGTTATACACCCATATACACCCAAAACCCTCTAAACCTGCAGCGTGGACCCGTTCCCTGCCAGGTCGTCCCCACAAAGGTTACCCTAGGGCATCGTCTGTGGCTTTTGCAGCGTCTATCTAGTTTGCTGGACGACGACTTCAAGAAGGGGAATTTGACGAAGCTTCTGCATGAGTGGATGCGCCAGCTAAAGGAGGTGGAGCTTCCAAATCAGGAGCGCGACAGCCGGCAGAGACAGCTGGAGGTGGAGCAACTCCTCCGCCGGAGTGCCGATCCGAAGGCTTTGAACCGGTTCGGCGGCACAGCGCTCATAAGCGCCGCGGCAGAGGGTCTGCAGGAGGTGGTCGAGGCCTTAGTGAAGGCCGGGGCCCAGCTGGAGGCTCGAAATGAGCGTGGCGACACGGCCCTCATTCTCGCTTCAAACAAGGGCCACTTGAAGGTGGTCGAGGCCTTGGTGAAGGCCGGGGCCCAGCTGGAGGCCCGCGATGAGCGTGGCAACACAGCCCTCATTCTCGCATCACACAATGGCCACTTGAAGGTGGTCGAGGCCTTGGTGAAGGCTGGAGCCCGGCTGGAGGCCTGCGATGAGCATGGCAACACAGCCCTCGTTCGTGCGTCAAGCGATGGCCACTTGAAGGTGGTCGAGGCCTTGGTGAAGGCTGGAGCCCAGCTGGATGGCCGCGGTTCGAATGCCCTCATTCGCGCATCAGTCGGGGGCCACTTGCAGGTGGTGGAGGCCTTGGTGAAGGCTGGAGCCCAGCTGGAGGCCCGCGATGGGGGTGGCCACACGGCCCTCGTCCGGGCGTTAGACTTTGACCACTTGCAGGTGGTCGAGGTCTTGGTGAAGGCTGGAGCGCGGCTGGAGGCCCGCGATGAGAAAGACCCATCCCTCGTTCGTAGGTTAGCCTGGGCCTTGAAGAAGGCTGGAGCCCGGTTCAAGGCCCGCAGGCCTTGGTGAAGGCTGGAGCCCTAGCATAATCCCGTGCACCTCCGTGTGTGCATGGTGCAATCTGCTGTTGCATCGGAACCTAAACCTGCCTTCGGAGAAAAGCGGTGTGGACCTGGGGAGAATGGAGCTTTCCAGCTGCCACCCGAAGATAAGAATTTTGTTTCCCAAGCTCGCACTGAGGACTGACGCTTGCGGCGAAGCTGCGCAGTTCACTGCGGCTCGGCTCCCAATTCGTCGCCTTTTTGTGCTCCGGGAGAGTTGAGCAGTGAGCCCGAGGCGGCAACGGGGAGAGTCGCAGACGTCTATCCTCTTGTTGACACGAGTGTTCTCCGTCTCTCCGTCTGTCTCTAAGTACCACGTGAAAGCGCTGATGACGGAGACGAACTCCGAGGTCGAAAGAACTTTAGATTCCCGGCCCGGCGCTGCGGAATCCGTTCCCGATCCACGTGCCGACCTCGTCGTGATTCGAGTTCATTATTTTGGCAGCCTTCTTTTTTTCGTTTTTCTTCAGTGACTTTTGCAAGAGTTCTGTGAGGGTTCTGTATAAGAATTGGTTTTAGGGTTTGGCTTGTTTTGCTCAAAGGGCTGAAGAAGTCACCTGGGGATGCAAAAGCCCTACTGTTTCCAGGGTTTATACCCCACAAAGTTATGATGGCTCAGAACCTACTCCTCTGTAGGGTTTGGGGCTACAGGTTTGAGTTTAGTAGTAGCAGTACGTAGTAGGTAGGTAGTGGTGGTAGTAGTAGTAGTAGTAGTAGTAGTAGTAGTAAGTAGTAAGTAGTAGTTAGTAGTAGTTAGTAGTAGTTAGTAGTAGTTAGTAGTAGTTAGTAGTAGTTAGTAGTAGTTATTAGTAGTTATTAGTAGTTATTAGTAGTCATTAGCAGTTATTAGTAGTTATTAGTAGTTATTGGTAGTTACTAGTAGTTACTAGTAGTTACTAGTAGTTACTAGTAGTTACTAGTAATTATTAGTAGTTGTTAGTAGTTATTAGTAGTTTGTAGTAGTTTGTAGTTTTAAGCAGTAGTAAGTAGTAGTAAGTAGTAGTAAGTAGTAGTAAGTAGTAGTAAGTAGTAGTAGGTAGTAGCAAGTAGTAGTAAGTAGTAGTAAGTAGTAGTAAGTAGTAAGTAGTAGTGAGTAGTGAGTAGTAGTGAGTAGTGAGTAGTTAGTAGTGAGTAGTGAGTAGTGAGTAGTGAGTAGTCAGTAGTGAGTAGTGAGTAGTCAGTAGTCAGTAGTGAGTAGTGAGTAGTGAGTAGTAAGTAGTAAGTAGTGAGCAGTAAGTAGTGAGTAGTGAGTAGTAAGTAGTAAGGAGTAAGTAGTAAGGAGTAAGTAGTAAGTCGTAAGTAGTAAGTAGTAAGTCGTAACTAGTAAGTAGTAAGTAGTAAGTAGTAAGTAGTAAATAGTAAGGAGTAAGGAGTAACGAGTAAGGAGGAAGTAGTAAGTAGTAAGAAGTAAGTAGTAAGTAGTAAGTAGTAAGTAGTAAGTAGTAAGTAGTACGTATTACGTAGTACGTAGTAAGTAGTAAGTAGTACGTAGTAAGTCGTAAGTCGTACGTCGTACATCGTAAGTCGTAAGTCGTAAGTCGTAAGTAGTAGGTAGTAGGTAGTAAGTAGTAAGAAGTAAGAAGTAGTAGTAGTAGTAGTAGTAGTAGTAGTAATAGCAATAGCAATAGTAGCAGTAGCAGTAGTAGTAGTAGTAGTTGTTGTTGTTAGGAGTAGTAGTACTAGTACTAGCAGCAGTGGCAGTAGCAGTAGGAGTAGCAGTAGGAGTAGTAGTAGTAGTAGCAGTAGTGGTAGTGGTACTGGTACTGGTACTGGTAGTGGTAGTGGTAGTGGGAGTGGCAGTGGTAGTGGTAGTGGTAGTGGTAGTGCTAGTGGTGGTGCTAGTGGTGGTAGCGGCAGCGGCGGTGGCGGTGGCGGCGGTGGTGGTAGTAGCAGTAGAAGGTAGTAGTAGGTAGTAGTAGGTAGTAGTAGTAGTAGTAGTAGTAGTAGTAGTAGTAGTAGTAGTAGGAGTAGTAGGAGTTTTAGTAGTAGTAGTAGTAGTAAGAGATAGTAGTAGTAGTAG